GTTGATGATTGAACATTTGGCTTTCTATGCAAATAAATCTACTATTCCATATGGATCTCTCCTCACTGTGTTGTTTAAGTCTTTTGGGATTGATGTTGAAAGTGAGTCACCCACTTATATTAAACCTGAGAACATTCTCTCGGAGCAATCTTTGCTTCGCCTGAGCCTTAAACTTGAGAGTGGGACACTTACTTTCTTGACGAGAGGAAGTGAGGAGAAAAATCGTGGAAAAGGGAAAACACAGGTTGTAGAGGGAGATACAAGTGAGTCAGAAGAGGAGGAAAGTGAGTCTGAAAAAGAGGAAAATAAAGAAAAAGGAGAGGAAGAAAAAGGAGAGGAAGCAATTTCTGAGGGGGAACCTCAGGAGGCAGTTTCTGTGGAAGAAGAGGAGACTCAGAGTGAGGGGGAATCTAGCTCAGAAAGTGAGAGTCTCGACCTCCCTTATACAGGAGGACTAAGGCGGAGTAAGAGGAAAATTGTCAAACCTGCTACTTCTACTCTAAAGCCTGTGATCATTGAAGACATTAGCTCTTCTGATCACTCAGACCCTGATTTCACCCCTACACAAGTTCCTTTTGCCTCCGAGCCATCTCCTGTTCCTGCCTCTCCCACAAACCAAGCTAAACCCTCTTCCCCTCCTGTTTCACCAAAACAGACTTCTCCCTCTCCCTCCCCAGCTTTTCCTACATCACAGCCTACATGCTTTGCTGCCTTCTCTGGAACAAATGCTTCTGTTTTTGATATTCAACAGGTGAAAGCAGAAATGGAGAAGCTGATAAAGATGGTGTGCACAAAGCTGGAGGACATGGCAAAGCAGCTGGCTTCTCTTCAACGCCAAGTGCAGGCTGTGGCAGATGCTCAGGCAACCAGTTTTACTGGTATGGAGAACAAAGTTGATGCTGCTGAGAAGAACATACTGCACAGCACTCAGGAGATATTGGAGACGATTAATAGGGTGGCTTTTGAAGAGGTGGAGGAAGCTTCCAATGACCCCAAAACCCCAGCTGATGAACCTACTTACTCACCATAATTGCAATTTCAAACTTGTCACTTTTACTTCTTTTGTTTTTGCTTGTTCCATTCGGATTTCAGTTTGTAACTCATAACTTTTGCTGCTCTTTCCTGCTTTTGTTTTCGTCTATGGGAACTTGGCTCGTATTTTTCATATGATTGTGTGTGTTTGCTGATGATTTAGTACCTAACTTATTTTTGCCTTGCATTATTTGAGCTCACTATTCCCTACGTAGTCTAGTGGGTATAGCAAAATGTTTTTTTTCAATCTTTTGATAATGCCAAAAGGGGGAAAAGACAAACTTCATGGCGGCTAAAGTGTTTACCAAGGAACTCACACATCGAAGGTACAAACTTTTGCCAAGTTCAGTTTTTAAAGTCTTTGTTAATTTTTCTTTTGCTCAGTTTTTTTTTTAAAAAAAAAAAAAAAAAAAAAAAAATACTTTTTAATATTTTTCTAAGTTCTTTAATTGTTTTTTTTGTTTTCATGCCTTACTCTAAATTTTTGTTGCATGCCTGGATGATTTTATTTACCTAAGTTTGTCAATGTTTGTCATCATCAAAAAGGGGGAATTTGTTGAGCCTTTTGGTTTTGATGGACAAATTGACAAACTCGACTAATGAATGTTTTGAGTCTTTGGTGAATAAAGGATTCAAGCAAAGTTCGTTCCGGAGTAGGAACTTGGATGCGGAGTAGCATTCTTTAAAAAGCCTCGTGCAAATCTCACGTTCTAGTTTTAATTGTGAGCACTCAATAATATAAAGTCGGAAAGGAACTCAATGACTTATGTTAAAGACTACTGGAATAAAAGTTAGTTTTAAAAGATAATTTCTTAAAGAAAAGATAATTTGTAAAAGTTTTAATAAAGATAATTATCGAAGATAATTATCTAGTTGTTTTAATAAATAATAAATTTATCTTTTCAAATAAAATCTTTTTAAACAAACTTTTGATAATCTTTTAAATAAATATTTGATAAAGTTAGCAAGTGGTTTTTCTGTGAGAAAATCTTTTATACGGCTAATGGTTATCAAGTTGTTAGGATAGTGGTTTAATTAGATAAGGCTAGGAAACCTCTTCATGATCACAATCTGTCAAGATAACTCCACAAGTTGTTAGTGGGTTGTTGACATGTGGACGTGATTATGGTGGAGGTTAATGACTAAGCCTTCTCTATAAATACTCATGCAAACTATCTCAGCAAAACATAACTCTTGAGCATAAAAATTCCAGTAGCCATCTAATAACATAAAGAGAGTTATTTTCCTTCATATATTCTTGAGTGCAATAGGTATTTGTAATCACAGATTGTATTCAAGTACTTAGGGGTTGGGATTGTGAGTTTGTAAAGTGAGGTCAAGGAAGCTTCGTTGCTGAAGTCTTCTGTGAGAGTTGGGAACAAGTTCCTAATTTGTGGAACTTGTTAACGGGTTTGAATCTTCACTTGTAAAGAGTTTGATTACTTAGTGGAAATTTAGAAAAGCCTATATCTTCTCTCGTCACTATTTCATTTAGTTAAATTCCGCAAAAAGTTTTTAGATTTCACCTCAAATACAATTCACCCCCCCTCTTGTATTAGCCAGTTAGACTTTCAGATAGTATAATATATGATCATCAACGTAACATTATTCTAGAAATAGGCAATAAGACTCAACCAAACAGTTGCCAAAAAAGGAAAAGAAATTTAGCAACAAAATCTGATTTCGTTGACGAAAGCTAACGTATATTTATGTGAGGTGGATTAAAAATATGGAAATCTAGTCATCAAATTAGAAGATGTTTCCAACAATAACTCAACCAAACAACAAAACGAAGCATCACTTTTTATGTCCAAAATATTTTGTCTGCCAATCTAATTTGCTATATAGAGTAATGTCAATTTATATACTTCAAATTAACTAAGGGAGGTTCATGCACATATTGACATTTTATATGATGTTAATTTCAAATCAAAACTCAAGTATGTAGTCCACTTGAACTTGTTACATGACTTCCTATATTATGGGGTCTAGGTAATGACAATTCAACCATACATTATATATTTTCTGAATATAATGTTGTTGGTTTTATTCTTGTATCTTAAACAACCCTGCGTGCATCTAATGTAATAGTTGTATTGTGGTGTTACCATATATAGAAGTTTTAATCGAACCATAACATCATCTCTAACAACATATCTACATTACGAACTTTTCAGAATTACTCCCTCCATTTTTTCATAAAAGTTATAAAGACTCAAACAGTTCCTTGAAATGAATGTCCTATAGGCTTGTAAGATATGCTAGACTGCAGCAGCACGATTAAACACTAACTAAGTAGATCTAATTTACTAAATAAGCACAAGCCAAAAAATTTGAAAAAGAATGATTTGATTTGAAAGGATTTAAGGGTTGTTGCCTGCCTGTTGGAGTGCCTTGCAGCAATAAACAAAGGATCTTTTGCAATTCACTCTAAGCAAAGAAGTACAAACATACTTGACATAAGATCGATCACTACGTATAATCTTCCGGCTCACTTAACAACAATATTCTAATTAACTCTTAATAACATTGCTTAAAATTGTAATTATCAATGTTCAAGTACTGAAAAGCTTAGCTTAACCCCCTTCAGTTTTTCCATTTTCCATTTCTAATGAACTTCCCTTGTCATTGTTTAAAAAAAAGAAAATAATGAACTGATTAGGCGAATTTTGAAGCTAAAGAACTTGGATTGTATATGATAAATGCAAAGACTTTATAATCCATATTAAGGAATAATTGTAATTGACATCATAATTGAAGGACACTAATTTTAGCTAAATAATATTCATTTCCAAGTTTTAGACTTAACTAGTAAGAAAAAAAAGAGAATTCAATGTTTATTGTCTAATTGATATGTTGTAAAGTGTCTACACAAACTAACAGAGGTAGTACGTAGAAGTAAAAGAAGAGTCCGAGTAACTCAGGAAGACACTGCCTAAAGTGGAAAAATTCAGATTGATCAACAAATTCTTAATATCTAAGTGTTTTAATTCTCTAATTAAACAAAACAAGAATTTTTAATACATATTTTGTCAATCAAAATATTTCATATCTTCATATACTCTTCATGAAAACATGATAGTAGTGTGTATATGACCTCTAAGGCTCTAATTCACATTCACTACCATCCTCCACTCAACTATTTTTAAATTGCCTTTTATAATGCCTATAATATAATATGAATGTGATGACTTGTACATTATAATCAAAGGTATTGAACTATAGATCTTACTATTTCAATGGTTACTATCGATTTAATTTGTAGTCAATAGTAAACTTAATGAATGGACGAAATTGTTCCACTAAATAGATATAATCATATAATTGATACTCGAGTTGATTACATGAAACAATAAAAACACGGTATAATAACCTAGGATCCCCAATTCCTAGCTAGGAACTTAAACTACACATTTAACAACCTTAATAGTTTCACATTTATCTTTAAGTAGAAAAGTGCAAATGTGCAACTATACTAGATTTTTTTGCAATATATTCTAAATTACTATTGCATGTCAAATTCCTAGTTATGTTTCATTTATTGGATACAATTAGACTGTACATATATAGTGAGCATCGCAAGTGATCTGAATCCCAAATTAGGCAAAATAAAAATAAAAATGTCATAAAAAAAATTTGTAGCGTGCAACCAAAAATAAACAAAAACCAAAACCCTTGAAAACTTCCCTTAAATGCTCGACAAATCTGACAGAAAATCTTCACAAAAGGCTCTCTTCCATTTTCTCCCCCTTTTCCTAACACATAGTGTTTTGATTTGACTACCCAATTACCTTCTCCACCTCCATTTTTAAATTTATTTAATACCCTTTTCTATGATCTCACTTACCACATCCACAAATTAAAATTGAATTTAGATCATTAAATGTAAAAAAATAATCAACATATTCCAATTTAACTTCAAAATTTTAAAAATAAATGTGATTTTTTGACTTGTCATCACATATTCTTGACATGAAGTATGTAGTAGAAGATACTAGGTATGGTACAATATAACAAGATCGTACTATATTAGTACTAAAAATCTTCCATTTTCATTATACCTAAATTTGTTGTAGTAGACTGCTAGAGTAGTTCCATAGTTGGAATAATGACTACTAAGAGAGTAATTAATTAACTAGGGTACACATAATTTAGAATTGAACTTACCATGATATATGATGATTGATAACTTAATTTTATGGGAAACTCCTTTCCCCAGCACCACCACCACCCCCATTTCCATGATGTCCATCCATGGTGAGTCCAGTCAATAACCCGATGCTGCTGCCGCCACTGGACTCACCATGGAGGTGGTGGTGCTGAAGAGGCGGCAGCGGCGGGGGTTGGGGCATTGGTCGAGAAGACGTAGTTGCAGGTGGAGGCCGCTTGCGCTTCTTCTTCTCGTAGCTGATGCCCCTAGCCTTGGCCTGAGAGTCCCTGACCTCGCGAAGGTAAAGCCTAACGGCTCGAGCCCCGAACGGGTTACTCTCAGGCGGGCCACCGTTCTCCTCATAGGCAGCCCTAAGACGGCCTATGAGAGCATCGAGTGAGCCCCACGCTTGACGGAGCGGGCAAGGGCAGGGGGCAGGTGGATTAGGGTGTCCGAAAAACGGGCAGCCCGGATTATGAACCTTAGTCTTTCCGAACTGATCCAAGTACCTTAAAAACTCCAAAACGTGGGCCCCACTACAACGGGACAACGCTAACGGAGGACGGTGGTTTCTCAGGTACTGCCCGAAAGTGTTCCAATCTCTTCTCTTCTGATTCTCGTACCTACTTAACTGCCCGTTGTTGTTGTTGTTGTTGTTGTTGTTGTTGTTGTTGTTGTTGTTGTTGGCCTTTGTCGTAGCCGAAGACGATGATGACGACGACGATGATGGTGGTGGGATAAGATCCATTGATTTTATTTATCTATTTATCCGATAATTGTAGTTATCAATTACTAACTCGCTCACAAACAATAACTGAAGTAGTAGTATTATTAATTAAGGTTTTTATTTGGAGGAGTTAAGGTTTCTTTTCTTTTTGGTTTTATGATGTTGTGTTTGTTTGAACAAAACTAGATATAATAACGCCTTTGTTGAAATTAAAGGAAGAAGGAATATGAATGATATGATGATGATTATGATGATTATGTCTTTCTTTTTCTAGCTTTTTGGGGAATATTGTGTAAATAACTAATTTTTGTACTAATTTAGTAAATAAATGGATACTACGACTAAATAACTAGTTTTTTTTTTTTTTTTGGGATTATATTGTGAAAATAATAGGAAGAGGAGGAAGAAGATGAAATTTAGGGCAAAAAAAATGGAGGGAGAGAGTGTGGGAAAAAAATTGAGGATTGGATGATTGGGATATGAAAATGGGGAAAAGCTGTATATAAATCTTTTTTATTTTTTAATTAAAAAAAAAGTTGAGACATGATGAGTTCTTTTTGTTGATGGACGTTTCATAAGATAAATTTACAAAAGTACCCCCTAATTGGAAAATTTATAATTCTATAATTTTGCAATTTTTGGGTTGAGTCATAGAGAGAACTGTAGCTTTTTGGTTATAGAGGTTAAAAGGGTGGTAAATTTTTTAGAGGTAAACCTTAAAAGCAGTACAAAGAACTGTACAGTAGGTTCTAATAAAAACATAATCCTAGTCATATTATATTCTCCCAATAACTTATTATAATTATGACTCTTTGCAAAAAATTATTATTATTCCTCTAACAACTTATTATATTTTTAGATGGCACACTTTAAGTACTCCGTATCATGAAAAAATTAATAAACTTTAGCTATTTTTTTGCCAATATATTATACAATTATATTTATTTTATTAAAATTGTTTTAATGCATATCATTATTTTCTCATTTGCTTAATATATATAGAATTTTGGTTTTAGACAATTTCTAAAATAAAACCTATATAAATAAAGTAAAACTAGATACATAAGTTAGTAAAATGAGTTTAACTAACAAAGATGAAATAGTGTAAAAGTGGATTGAAAAATCATACAAAATTTTAGGAACAATGAGAGTATGAATTCACCAAATATATATGATCATATATGTGTAAAGAAGCAAATAAAAATTAAAGGAGTGATCGAGTTACTTTGAAATGTTTGTAATCGACACATATAACTATATAAAGATAGGAGAATTTTAGATTCTAAACAATCACTGCTCCTTACCTGAAATGAATTTGGTTTAATATTTGTGTTATGCTTGTAGAGATATTGTATATTGCCACTTGTTATAAATCACCCTTGAATCAAAACAGATTAGTAATGACAAGAGTTCCAAAAAAGATAAATTTCATCATCGGAATTTGCTTGTGCCCCACTCAATTTGCTTGACCATCATTAGCCCCTATTCGCTCTCGTCTCAATTATTTTTGCCAATTGGCAAGAGCAGTGTCCGCTCTCTAGTCTCTAACTCGATGCTCACTTAGCTTGTTTTGCATTGCTATGTGCTCACAAAGTCATATCCTTCTACCCCTCACCTCACTAGGACGACCTTACGGCTAAATAGACAAGAGCGTGTCACATGATCAACTGTCTAAATTTATGGACCATGACAATGATGCATTTGTTAAAAATGCAAGGAGTAAGTCTCTTAGCCGTTCTTCTTAATTACATGCATAGATGATTTAAATGAAAAAAAAAAAAAAAATCATGATTAGGAGCAATTTAATAGTTCCTTTTTTTCTTTTCTTTCTTTTTGGGATTATTATTATTATTATTTTCTTACTGAGTATTTTTTAAAAAAAAAATTCATTGGAGGGACAAAATTGTCAATTTGTTCATGGTGTTGATAAGTGGTGTCCTAATTCATGTTAAGTGCCTTGTTTACTCTTCATCGACTCCCATCTAGCTTCTTTTGTAAAGTATATATCCCTCTATATTACCGGATATTTTAAGACTTTTGGATTCTTTTTGTACCCTTTCACAATAACTTGTTAACATTCATAAAATGTCTATTATTTCCTCAAAAAATGTCCGATCGCTTCATCTCATTATGTTATTCTTGATCCTACTGTACTGTGGTATTACTTGGGGCCTATGCAATGGGTCTTTGGTAATGTGCAGGCTATGTCATTATTATTAATGTGAGTTGTAGTGCAATTGTGAGTTGGGTCCTTGTGATGTAGTGTGTGAGTTGTAGGGTTTGTTTGTAACTTAATATACCTCATTGATGATTCGATTACTATATATGCGCTCCTTTAAGGGAACAAGTATACACACTTTTACTCTGTATTTGGAGTTTATTTATATACATTCGGGTGCACAACGCACCCTTCTAACCTAAGGATAGTTTTGCTCTTCATTTATTGATTAAATGAACAATAAATATTAAATAAGAAAAAAAATCTTGGATGCACCATGCATAATACATCCGGATGTATATAGTATCTCCATAGTATTATTTAGTATCAATCTATTCAATTACACAATATAAAAACTTACGCGTAATATTTTGCGATTATACATCAAGATGAATCTAATACATTAATTTCCTTTCTCCTCAATAATTGAAAATTCTAAATGAGGTACATAAGGAAGGTTTCATAATATGAAAATAAAGGATCAAGCTTAATAATTTTAAATAAAAATTGTATAGTTTAAAAAAGTGCCATTGTACATTTGTAATAAATTACTTGTAATTTTTTTTTTTTAAAAATTAAACTTAAATTTTAAAAATCAAAACCCACATGATGCTTGTGTAAACATCAGTACATCATCAACGATCCTAACTGAAGTTCGAAGTCGTTGAAATAGTTCACATTGTAATTGTAAATACTAGTCGTACGGACCATTTGAGATAGATTTGGGGCTACATTATTGGATATTTCATATTTGTATTACTTTACTACGGTTGTAGACATTATTTATCACCTAGTTCATCTTCCCGTGAATTAGAATTAGAATCCCAAAAATGTATGTAGGTCCAATCAAATTGCTAAATAAACTACTTGTACATTTTACTTAATCAAGGCTCTTAAATCAACATCATCATCCCGACAGCCAAATCAGACAACTTGGAATAATATCAAACACCTAATTAAGCATGTTTAACACCTCTATACCACGTCCGTTAAACAACCTAAGCTACTGTACCAACATACTTCTTCTGTACTCTATATTATCTACTCTCTTCGTTTCATTTACAATTTAACGTCGTTTCTAAAATATTAATACTCAATTTCTATTTTTAACCCTTTTTTTTTTTACGGAATCACTATTTTTAACTAAGAATATGAGATTACAACTTTACCCTTTAATACACTATTTAGCCAAAGATGGAGAGAATACTTAAAATCTTTCAGAATTAGTTACTCCGTATCATATTCACATAATTTCAATCCCTTGTAATACAATGATAAAAAAAAACTCCGTAATAGTTGTCATTTTTAGTTTGTCCCCCTTACTTGATCCAAGTTGTTTTCAAATATATCCAAAAAATTGTAAGTTTGAGAGACATTAAACTTTGGGTTGTGATATTTTTAAACATATGTTGTACATTCATATTTTTTTAGTCACGTGACATATCTCGTCAACACAAAATTTTGGTAATTTTTAATAAAATGAAATCAGATTTTAGCAATATTATAACCAACTAACGGTATTTGAAATGTAATTTATGTGGATAATAATTAAGAATCAATGTATTAAGTAATCTTTCAATTATAAAAATCTTTGTAATCTAGATAATGTCTGCCATAATATAATAAAATATAGTAAAAAATGCAAGCTAAAACCTAGTTAGCTACTAGAAGTAGAATTGGAATCCAAACTTTAAGTAATTGTCCAAGAAAAGCTTAATAGAATATTTATGGTTGATTACACTCCAATCCACCAATAATACACGCATCTTTCTTTTTCCACATTCTACCTTGTACGGAAACATCTGTGTGATTTACTCAGTGTTTTCTTTTCTTGGTTTGTATGTACGTACCTATATAAAACTGTAGACAAAACATAGAATGAAGTAGGTTGTTTACCAGTAAAACGGATCGCTCCCCTCTATTTGTCAAAGTATGCATCAATTATAATTTACGTGTACACCTTTCAATATGAGGTGATAGATTATGTAAATAATCTTTGTAATTATCTTAGTGTATATTTAGTGTATATCTTTCCTAACTTAGCGATAGCTTAACTTAGAAGTCTTTGATGTATATATACTAATCTTTGATGAATGAGAAGCCACAACAAATATCCCTCAAAGACTAGTATATATACATCAAAGACTTATAGGTTAAGCTATCGCTAAGCTAAGAAAGATATACACTAAATATACACTAAGACTTATTGTACTAGCCTCAAAACCCTAGCGGATAGTTTGATCAATTTACGCTAAATATACACTAAGCTCGATCCCGATGACAAGGCGGTTGATACATGGAATCGATAGGAAATTTTTTTCCACAACAAGTCTGCCAATGCTTTACAACCACTAGTAGAAAAAAAGAAATAGGCAACCCCCCTACGGCAACGGTTCATGAAAACCATTGCTAACTTAAGTGAGCGCCATTTTTAATATCCCCCTATGGCAACGGTTAACCGTTGCCAATTGATTAAAAAAATAAAGGGGGTAAAGTTGGCAACGGTTAACCGTTGCCAACTTTAAATATTTTTTTTTTTTAAAAAAAAAAAGGGGAAGAGTTGGCAACGGTTAACCGTTGCCAATTGTGAATTTTTTTTTTTTTAAAAAAAGGAATAGTTGGCAACGGTTAACCGTTGCCATTTTAAAAATAAAAAAACGCGCACTCAGCTTCTACATACGTACTGTAGCTATTGCATTTATGTGTTTTTGCTTGAAACCTCCAAAAACGCGCCCCATTAAAGCTCCATTCACTACAGCATTGAGCTCTATTCACTCCATTAGCTCTCCCCAAACCATTATAGCTTCCATTGAAGGGTCCATTGAAGCCATTTTGGTTCCTCATGCACGCGCACTCACTTCTTCTGTTCTAGGCTTGTTCTACTCCTCACGCGCACTCATCTCTTCTCTTCTAGGGTAAGATCATCTCTTCTGTTCTACTCCTCACGCACACTCACCTCTTCTGTTCTGGGCTTGTTCTACTCCCCAAACCATTATAGCTTCAATTGGTTTTACTCAAAATTGGTTTTATTTGGAATAGCTATATATGTTTCTCTGATTAACATTGTAACCTTTCTCTGATTAACTGTATGTTACTTGTTGTATGTTATATGCTGTATGTTATATGCTGTATGTTATATGCTGTATCTTTGGTGTGAATGAAGCAAGCTAGAAAAAAAGAGACTAAGAGGCATAGTGTGTACTTGCAATTTGAGTTGCAATAAGCTTATATGGAGTAGTTAAGAAGTTTTTTCACTTCGATAAAGAATGTGGGTTATTATCATAGAGGGTGGATGTCACTTTGTTGTTTGCATTTGAGTTGCAATAAGCTTATATGGAGTAGTTTGTTATTTCCCTTCTTTGTTTTCTTCCTTCACTTCCTTTTAAGGGTTGCTTATTAGTTTTGGAGA